TATATATATATATATATATATATGAAATTGGAAATATTTAGTTTCAACTTTCATATAATTTCAAAATGCATTTCAGTGTACGTTTCCAGTCTTACAGTAGCCTACATTTAGACTAAATGCAAATGTGGATGGAACTAGACCAGAACTAGATTCATATTGATGTCATTATGATTAATTATTTGTATGTATTGTAATGTATTTTATGTACTGTAATTTTTTGGAACATGTTCTTTGTTTATTTTTATTCAAATGTGTTATATTTTCAGACATGTTATAGACAAATACAGTATGTAAATGTATTTTCATGGATTGCAATATATGGAGGGGGATATATTTACTTTATTTAACTATATTTGTTTATAACTATACTAGCAGATAACTATTTTAAAATACTAGCATAACTATTTTAGCAAATATATTGTTGGTCATTTTTTGTAGCTATATTTTGATTTAGAAAATGTATTTTTTGGCCGAATGGGAATTTAAGCAAATGAAGTACGAACAGAGAGATTTAAATCAAATCAAATCAAATCAATTCTTCAACTCTTTAACTTTTTTAACTTGTTTGTTCCCCCCTGCCTTTCTATTTTGCCGTTTACACTGGTTAAATTTGAACTACAAATCCCAGAATGCAGCGGCGATGTTTTCCGGACTCGGCTTCCACTGGGGAAGCAGCATGACGTCATTGTCAAAAAAGCCGAGGAAACTCTGCGATCATTGTGCAACACCGGAGCCGAAAATCTGCCGAGGTTGCTCTAGCTCTTGGCGCTGCACGGTTGCTATTATCGCTTAGATTATAAGCCTGAAGAAAAGACTGAATGCATTCGGAATAATAGAAGCAGTGGGGTGAATCCCCTGCATTTGGTAAGTGTAAAGATGATTTAATGTGACCTTTAATGTGTGGAGCATCCTGCTAGCTAATGGAGAACATTGTGCCTGCTGGTTTTATTTAATCATAAAATAAAATGTGCAGTTTTCACTATTTATAAAGGGTCTAAATATAAAGGGAAAGAATTAGGCCACATCTATGTCTTTACTATCTTTCGCTCTGCTCAGAGATATTGCATATCAGATTTCAGTTTTCTGCTTTGAGGTATTGCATATCAGATATGTTTTCATCTATACCCAGTAGGGATCAATAAAGTATTGTTTTTTTCTGTTCTGCTATTTAATATCCTTATTATTCCCATGTAGCACATATTGCAGTCATAACATTTAATATTTAAGGAAGAGTGAAGTTATATTTCATCTGTTTTCAACATGTTGATTTCTGGATGAAAATGAAATACAGTTTAGAAGGTTTGTTATTCATTCTATGAGAGTAAAAAGTTATGTTCATGTTGTTGCGATATGTGGTAATGTGAGGGTTAACCAGCATAAAAAGCAAATTAAACAATGCAAATTAAATGGCAATAAATTGTGCAAAACGATCAAATATAATTGTGACTCTGAGCATGACCTCAACTAATAATTGTCTTTACTGTTATTTTTTAATAAATATTAATTACATACAAAATGAATGTGAGATTAAATATATTTGCAGTAGTGAATAACAACAACAACAACAACAATAATAGATAATTAAATTAATATAGTATTATTATTATTATTATTTTTTAAATATTACAAAACGAATGCCAGAGAAAATGATTTTTGCAGTGGTGATGACATGGTTGTGTAACGTTGGAATGTTTATTCTTGCAGCTAATTCAGTCAACTGTTTATTGAATCAAAAATGTATTTTAAAAGGTCTGTTTGTGCTCAACTTCCAATTTTCAGTTGTATTTCTTTTACATTTTGTATGCTTACATCCACCATAATTCTTAATTAGCTGTTGAAAGTGTGTTTGCGTGTATGCATGTGTGTTGACAGGCCTCTGGGAGTTGTTCTTTATTCCTTGTGTTTTTATTGCGGTCCTCACAGCATCCTGCCATAGGCCTTGGCAACAGCAGCGTTCGAGCACATGCATAGCAGCTTCTCCTATAGCAACACTTCAGAAACAAACACTGCCAATGTGTGTAGTGAAATACAGAGGCAGATGCACTGTTGATCTAATAAATTAAAGAATGG